CTTTTCTGTCTTGAGTTTGTCCGCAGACTGAGCTTTAGACTGATTATTGGCGGGAGCCATGATGTTCTCTATTGTCTCAGTATGTAGCTGAAAGTCGTTCCCGGAGCGTAGGACCCCTGGAGAGTGGTTAAGGGACAGTTGATGCCAGCAACGATCCGAAGAAGGCAGCGATACGTTAAAGTAACACGCGCCCGTTACGCGAACGCGTTATTTTGTCTTGTTTGCAGTGCTCATTTAGCGCCGGTTATCGATCATCGCTACTCAGTACTCGGTAGTGAATGGGTTATGTATAATTATGCAGACTGTTGTCTATATACGAGGATAAATGCAGTTACATTGGTATCTTCCATCCCCCTGCCAACCCCATAATGTTGGTCGGATCGTGCAATTCTTTCAGGGTAATAAGCTCGGGTAAGGCAGCTCCATATACCAAGTTCAACGGAGTTCCGTACACCGCATAGTTCGGATAGTGTGGTGCGTCCTGTACGGATGTCTGGCCCTCAACCAAGGCCACCGCAGTAAGGACGGCTGCACTTGCGACAATCGCATTGTAGAAGTCAGTGTCATATTGCGAAAGCTCCCAGCCGAAGTAGAGGTTCAGTGGCAGGAAACGCTGAGCGCGCGTATGCGGGTAGGCCGACGGACCACCATGATCGAGGATGGTCGGTAGGAATGGTTCAATATCAATGCTGATGATACCAGCAGATTCGCCAAGTAGCTCGTTGTACCAGTACTTGCATTACGTCAACTAATGCACATAGGAGAAGGGTAGGAACATACCTCTGTCAAGGCAATGGCCTCCTCCAGGATCCCCAGGGTAATTTGTTCGACGGGTACCGTATGGTAAAATCCGCTGCGAGAAATGATCGAGGGTTGCGACGAAGATTAGAAGGCAGAACGAGTACCGGAAATTTGTTGTCGCGTCTGACGCCTGACTCAAAATGAAGGACACGAATGACTGTGTCGTAACAGTGGATTCCAACGAAGAAATCGACATAAATTCATCGAATATGCCCGCGGGAGGCGTTGGTGCGTCGTAAAACATGATCACGGATGAGACGAGCTAGGCAAGACTCGTCGTTAGCGATGTCTTCGAATCGAACATTGATGCGTGAGCCTACCGATCCGCTGATGTAGTCGTAAGTCGTGATTATCGCTGCTTTCGGATCGGTAACATAGTTCGCAAAGTTGTATGTCGCATCTGTAATGGCTTGAACCTGAGCTCCGGAGTACGTTACTTGTCCGGCCTTCGCCATATGAGCGGACCAAAAGCCGTTGTAAAGCCTATGTGACATACCCATACTTCACCCTGCGGGAATGTCCTGAGGGTGAACTTCGTGACAACGCCCTTCGAATACATTTGTCAATATATATCACATAGCATCATATGGGACCGCAAACACACGTAATTGTTGAGGCCGCCCTTTGTAGCCGCCCTCGGTCAGAAAGCACGAACCCTTTGATAGTGTATTCTCACCTTCAGTCCGTAGAACAAGTCGGGATTGTCGAAATCAGTGACGTTGATGACAGTGCCATTTGGCAAAACCAATTCGAAGGCTTGCACTGTGTCGAGTGTCAGGCCGTGTTGGTTTGTCAGCCAAGAGTAGCCTGTGAAGCGTCAGAATCCCGTTCTGTGAATGCAATAAAGTAACCGGACCGCCGCCCAGAGTATATCCAGACACCCCAATACCCGATACCCTCCCACCAACGACGTTCACATCGTACAGATCAAGCGCCTTGTAGACGTCATCCCAGATCAACCCTGAGCCGAAGGCAACCGTCTCTGTGCCTGAGTCGTAGTCCACCACGTTGAATCGCGTCATCGCAATTGTGACACCCGACGTGGACGAATATCCGGGATTCATGACATGACCACCGCCCTTGACCTACGCACGAAGTATGGTCATACAAGGCAACACCACGACGTAAGCCGAGAACACACACACCGCGAATGGAGTCTGAGTTGCCCCCAGAATCTGGAGCTATATCAAGGCGCGATCAAAGCTTGTTGTGCCGATCGCACATATACAACGCACAATGATGCCAACGTCTCCGGTCGTGCCTGGTTCCACAGAACAGATTGATTCTTCCGTGCTAGATTTTGCATAGTGGGCTATGTCCTGCTGATACTGGGGATCCGCTAGAATGCGAAACATCAGTTCTCAGACATGTCGAGGGGAGCCGAGCACCCACCAGGATAGTACACATAGGACGCAGGTGAAATTGAAGACGCAATCTGTTGACACGTTGTTTGTACACTTGTGCTCTGCGCGTGAACCAATGCACTTTGCTTGACAGCCGCGAAAGTCAAGGCGACTGAAGCAGCAGCGAGATACATTACGTGATGTAGCCAGCTTGGCCTCTTCACGTTTACGAATTTGATTCGCAATCTAATTGAGTTGATGAGTCGGTAGGTGCAATGAGAGGGTAATCCTCACGCGACAGTCTTATATAGCGGCGGACCGATCTGTCGCACCGAACGCAGCACGCTACCCACGCGGGAGCGATGCGGAAATTGACCTAAGGGATGTCGCAGAATCCCTGGAGGATGACGGAGGCGCTGGTGGAGTAAACTGTTATAGAATCGTCATCATACCAATCTAGCCCAACGTCGGCGATTGTCAGGTCCTCGCGGACAGCATAAAACATCAGATACGTGGGAAGCCATCGACCTGACAAGTGGGCGGTGAGATTGGTTCATGATAGATAGGCACATCAGCCAGGCCTTGAATAGCCTGCACCGACGGTGAGTTGAATGGCAAATGATGAGAATAAAGAGAATACTCACATCAGCTGCCAGGAGGGACTGATCTGCAACCAGGTCAGAGGAAGGGCAATATACGTATCCCGCGCATAACAAGAGGCTTGCAGCTAGGACTCAACGAGAGCCTGGCTTTGCATTGGGATTTGGGAGATGAGAGCTCAGCAAAACGGGAAGCCGTGCCGTCACCGGACGTCAGGCAAGACCAGGCCAGGGCTCATGCTTGATTACAGGCTTGCTGCAGGCCACAGGCTACTGCGAGAGCTTATCTCGGTCTTTGAGGGGACGCAAATCCTGGTATGCCGTCGTACACTGTGTATGCTATCTGCTGAGATAGAGCGAATACATCCTCGTGTATGAAGTGCGTCAGTGGCGAAGATGAGCGATCTCTATTATTAGCTACAACCTGTCAGGTCGGTAGCATGGGTGTGCAAGCTACATGACACCGCGAGCAGGACCCATTGTGCGGAGTCCGGACACCTCCCGGTAGGGATAGTGTTTTCGGCAGGTGTTCCCGGACTCCGGACATTGCACGAACATGGAATAATGATTGGCTAGCATACAATGTCCGGAGGACAAGAATGTAATACAAGTGACAATCGAAAATGCTATCCCTGCCGGACGGTGTCCGGAGTATGTCTGGGCTGCCCGTGGCGTGAGTTGGAATCAGTGACACCCAAAGATCGTTTCCGGACCAGAGTCCTTGTCCTTGACGGCGACATAATCTATTTCATAGACGCTGTCCAGGCCCGGGCTTCTGACCAATCGAATCCTGCGTAAGCCCACCTAAAGGCCGGGCTTGAGCTTCGATATCACTATGTACCTATATACGCGCGTTTCACGTTTAATAGGGGTAATGTACTTCTCACCAGTGCTTCCGACAACCCACACATTTGTCTTTCACAAGACATCCTAGACACTCTAATCCCGCGATGACACAGCAAAATGTCAACGCAGGGCATTGGAGTGGGAGTGCATTGACTCCATGATGCAATCCATGCGCAAATGACGGCAGCATCCTTCGCGCGAGTCAAGGCACATTGGAGCCGTCTCCCCTAGGCAGCCTACACATCAGGCTTCGTTTTTGGGTGACGGGAGGACTGTCGCTTGAAGCGCATGTACATATAAAGCTAAGCCGAAGACGCCAAAGTTTACAACAGTCCCAGTGGCGAAGAGATTTGAACATGTTGCATGATGCAAGTGATAAGGAAGGTTGACTTGCATTCGAACCAACCAACATTTGATCTGCCTAACGGGAAATCCCGAAATGTTGTGGCTTTGCGTCACAGCGCTCCAGGTTCACTTACGCACTTCATGTCTTTGACATGTCAACAGTACACGTCTGGATGCTGTCTGCACATCAAGGTTTGTTTGTGCGGCTTATGGGTCTTTACATCCAGGCCCCTTGTCTTGTGGCGGAAGTAGTGCTTCTCTCGGCTGCACTGAACATGAAGGCCGCGCTGAGATGACCGTAGGAACCGCGTCCCACAATTTGAGCTAGCAATCACGACCCCACACAAATATAAGCACATGAGACAATTATGTCGTATTCGTCATCACAAAATCACGTTCACGTCGGCACCTTCCATCCACCCGCAAGACCCATCACATTATTTGGATCGTACGTCTGCTTCAGCTCCACGAGCGTCGGCAGCGCGGTGCCCCAGATGTCCGAGATCGGTGTCCCGTACAGCGAATAATTCGGGTAGTGCGGCACGCCTGAGATGTTCGTTTGCCCCTCCGCCACCGCAGCAGACGTCAGATTTGTCGCAGTCTGCGTGATCGCAGCATAGTAGTCGCTGTCATAAGTCTCGTCCGACCAGCTGAAATAAATGTTCAAGGGCAAGTAGCGCTCAGTGCGCGTCCACGGGTATGCCGACGGGCCTCCGTGCGTGAGAATGGTCGGAAGGAACGGCTCGACGTCGTAACTGATGATCTGGTCCGAGTCGAGTTGCAGCTGTTCGCCCCAATACTGTCGGAGGCATCTTATCAGGACGCATCAACGTTAGACTGAAGATGAACAGACCTGAGCTTCCGTGAGCACGTCGTTCAGAATGCCCTCGGTGATCTCCGTCAAAGGCACTGTATTGTAATATCCGCTGCAAGGCACATGTGAGTCCATTGCAACGATAACCCATGGCACGATGCATTACCGGAAGTTGGCTGTTTCCTGCGTCGTCTCGACCTGTACCAATGATAGGAAAGAACGTGTCTTGACGTTGGTCGCCAATGCCGGTATTGACAGGAAGTCGTCAAAAATCCCCGACGGAGGATTAGGAGCATCGTAGAAGATTATGACAGACGCAAGAATCTGGCATTATCGCATATTCCGTTGACTCCATGAGACGAACAGTAGATAGTATATCCACGCACCAGCCCACCGGTATAGTCGTAGGTGGTGATGATAGCCGCCTTCGGGTCGGTGACATTCGACGAAAAGGTTGCCGTGGCAGCGCTAACATTATTGACGCTCGATGATGGATATGTGATCTGACCACCCTGCAGATGTGACACTCTTAACATGTTGTATAATTTGCACGACAGACCGACATACCCAGACCTGACCTTGAGGATATGTCTGGAAGGTGAATGTCGTGACTATGCCCTGTGCGTGCAAGGACACATCGAATCACATCCCCAGACCGTGACGTATGCAGAACTCACGAAATTATTGTAGCCACCCTAAATGCAAGATCAGTATCCATCGCTTCGTGGCGTCGAGGGATATGTCATACCTTCAGCCCAAAGAAGAGATCGGGATTCGAGGACTCGGTCACATTCGTCACCGTTCCGTTGGGCAGAGCGAGCTCGAATGTGCGAACGTTGTCAAGCGTCAGACCGTATTGGTTCGTTAGCCATGAATAGCCTATCACGCGATCAGATCGGATGATTGGAGATGGAGAAATGAATTGACAGACCTCCTCCGAGGGTGAAACCTGCCACACCGATGCCAGTGACCCTGCCGCCGACGACATTCACGTCATACTGTTCGAGCGCTGAGTACACTTTGTCCCAGGTAAGACCAGCGCCTATTGCGGCTGTGCTCGTAGACGCATCGTAGACGACGCTGTTGAACCTGGTCATGGATATCTGCACGCCCGTCGTGGACGAATACCCAGGGTTCATTGCATGCCCACCGCCTTTGACCTGTGCTCATCTGCGTCAATCCAGGGTCTATATGGATCCGATGATCGCAGCGCACCGCAAAGGGCGCCTGGTTCGCGCCTAGGATTTGAAGCTACATGCAAGGAAGTGCTCGGACGCGTTTTCTCTCAGCGAGAATGTGAAAAGCGCACTATTATGCCCACGTCCTCGGCGGTGCCTGGTTCCACGGAGCAAGTAGCATTCTCGGTGCTTGAAGTAGCATAGTGATATATGTCCGATTTGTATGAAAGGCTCGCTATAGGGCGGCTGTCACCATCATGCGAAGCTTGGGCAGGCGAGAAACACATACGGGGATAATAGACGAACGACGCAGAGGAAACAGCAATGGCAATCTGCTGGCACGTCGATGTCACATTGGTATCCTGAGCATAACCTACACCCGCCCTCAGCAACGCCAGGACGCAAAGAGTTGCCAGGTACATATCGAGATGGAGATTGCGAAGATGTGGATGTGGCGAGACCAACTTGTCAGTACCGAGGTCTGATTGAGCTGGAGACGTTGGGCCTATGCTGCTGGCATAGCAGCATATTTATACCTCGACGAGCGCGCCGTAGAGCCGTAACCTTTCGGTAGTGCATCCGGCTTTGGGAAAAGTGATGTACTCTGAAACACCTCGCCAGACTATAGGGGCGTCATTTAAGCTCACTATAGCTTAACAAGTCTTACCTCGCACCAGTAGCATGTGCTGCGTGCGCTGGAGGGTTGCCACAATGACGGATCGGGACGTCGACGGGATGTGGCGCTGAGGGTTTTATGGACCCTGATGCTGTCCATCAAAGCGATGAGACTAGGGGCCGAAGAATTCTGGCTGGCTTAATGACTTGTGTCTTGACCTACCCGCCAATACATACTGATGCTATGCACGTTTAGAGTGATGATTCTATGGCATGAGCTTCGTAGCGCGTCATATATGGCTTCCATCCCGGCATTGCATATGCGATTTGATGTGTACCTTAACCCGGTCCAGCAGCTTACAATGAGCTCACCCATGAATTGCGCTAGGCTCAGATTGGTTGTTTTGTACCCAACTTATGGTTCTGCTCTATTAGTATCAGAGATCCATCTTGATTACTTCTCATGAGAGCCGACATTTAATTTGCCGAGATCGAAGGGACCTGCGAGGAACATTTGTGCTCATATCGTTATTCATCAGAGGTTGTAAGTTCCCAATTCTGCATTACACGAGTAGTACACATGCCTCTGCATTCCGTGTAGGTCTATTGCTGTGGCAACATGCAGTATGTGCATCGACAGCTTGGAATGCATCGCTAGTGACTTCAGGAGGTGCGTCGCTTCCTGGAACCTGACACACGTCTAGGGGTAAGTTCATTTTTCCGCAGACCGGTGAGGCGTCAGATGTAGTTCTGGTGAGCCAGCAGGTCAGGTCGAGCTGTGTAAATTAAAGTTACACGGTCCTACGATAGGTCCTACGGCTGCACAAGTGAGGAGAGCTACGGTACTATACCAGAAGACATGGTCATTTGACTCACCTTTTGTCCATATCTCAAATCGTTGGAGCTGACACAGTCAGAGTGACAGATAGCCTAACCTTCGCCGGTCATCGGAAACACAAAGATAGTCTCATTTCGCGGAAGACAATGCTCTGGATAGCTCCCGACGACATTTAAGCTCGACAGCGCTCGTTTGCAATAGAGAGAATCTACTGCGTCGGGCATGTCGGGAGGTTAACCCAAGGCTGGTGTGACAGAGGCGGACAGTAATAGCAATTGAATAAGCTCTGGTGCATATGATAGTGGAGTGCATCATGAGGACTTTCGTAGTACCTGAGATCTGAGACCTGAGGTAGCAATCCATCCGTCAGTGAACCGACAGAACGGTGCGAGGTGCTACACACTTGAACTGAATAGCGTGCGACAAAGTGTTAGGCGACAAACATTTGGCGACAACTCGAATACTCACCAACACTGCGGCTCTTAGTATGCATATCGACTATCCACATCATGCTTTCTCATCCAGTGGACGGAACCAGACACGTTTTCGAAGACGGCTAGTAAGCTAATAAAAAGGAATTATACTATTAGACGGCCCGAAGCTTTGCAGGGCATTATTATAAGCAAGAGGATATTTACGTAACATTATGTCATCAATCTATGCCGAGTCCATGCCGACCAGCGAAGCGCTAAACTCACTTACTCCAGCGACTTGGGCTAGCGCTATGAGATTCCTGGGGGATTGGGAGGCATGTGATGAGTGACAGACATCCGTTCGTCTGCTGGCCGCAGCTGTTCTGGTAGGAAGAAAAGTCCTATGATGATTCGAACGACGTTGATTCACTTACAGAACCCACGAAGCCTCACGTAGTGAGTACTCACCATCTTCACCCCGTGACAATGCCTGATCATGCCGCTATCAGGTACCTGAATTGACCCGACATCTGCCCAAATTCATGACCAACGTGTAACGGACCCCATTGGCATGGCTCTCAACTCGCTGAAATGCTTAGTTCAATTGCGTTAAGTGTCATTCTCCTCGTGAATGTGAGACGTGAGTATTGAATAATCGCTAGAAACACAACTCATTCATTTTGTTGTGTGAATAAATGAGCCTAACTGACAAGTGGCTCTGAAATTGGATTCAGACAAAAGCTTAATTGACATCGAGTGTCCGAGACCTTCTTTTCATTCTGCGTCCAGTCCATTTATACCTCCTTGGTGCGTCGTACTATCATACGCCAACACCTTCCTGTCATGTCGGTTTACCCCTAGCACATTCTCTGACTCCTCAGCTGGTGAGGTCCTAGGTGCTCTTTGACATGCTCTGCATGCTGTACTGGCCGAATAACCCGAATACGTAGTCAGACCCTGCGCCTTTGGGGTCATACCGCAGCTTGGGCAAGTGGCATAGCTCGCTCGAGACTAGAGCAGATGCGCGATTCTGGTGCCAATTGTCTGTGGGGAACCATCAGCACCCAACAAGACGGCTGTCTTGTGCCCGGTCGGTGAGAGGATTTCCTACCTGGAAACGCCATAGCTGGTTGTGATCACTAAACACCCATTGCCTGGATACAAGACAGATTTCAGATGGAATGGTGGGAGATAATTTATCACTCGCTGACGATGCGTCTCCACGAAAGTAAAAGTACTCCTCATTAACCTTCGCATTTTTACCCTCGAGAACCGCTGTTAGCATACTATGGCCATTTAGTCCTCGACATCTACGTAGCTAACACAAAAGCAAGCTGGCACAACGTGCTTTTCCAAGACGGAACCGGCCTAAATCTAGCACTAAAGGTAGTCTGTCAACTGGAAGACGTATCAAATGTGATTCGCGTTAGGGCGATTTTTGGATTCGCTGTTAGAGAAGGATGAGCGAGATAAGTTACTATACTTCGAAGCTGAGCCGCGACTGATCATTACAACTGTCTGCTACGCAGAGCTTATCTGTAACAAGACAGCGTTCTTTTCGAATATATGCATGCGCGAAAGTGCCAATTGCACACTGTTGTTGTCTACTGCATACTCTCTTTATCCATTGTACGCTGCATCTATATTCTCGTGGTCTATCGCTCAGGCTTCCCTAATCCCCACTTCCCTGCCTTTCACGACGGAGGTATGCGGCGCCCCGATAGAGCCTTACTCTCTTTAGCGTCGTAGGCCGGTCTGGGCTCTGGGAAATTGTTTCTCTTGTTTGGCTCAACGTCGGTGCTCAAGTCTCCATTGGGATGCCTCCAACGTAGGGTGTAATACGGATAACATGGACCTATGATGCTGCCTGCTGCCTCCAGCCTACCTCGATAAACCTTTCGTGAGCGAGTGGACGTTGGCGGCAATCTGAATTGCGAAATGAAGTGGTAGCGGACCAACGCCGACTGCTGAGATCTGTGTGAGTAATGCCTTACCGAAGCTCTCGTCGCGGAGGCTCAGCCCGCGTGATTCACTGACATACGCTTACGAAAGCTACAGCGTCCAGAATATCCCTCCCATGACCTCATACTCATCTCTTTGTCCCACCATGCCATAATTCGGGACTTATAAGTCTGGACATGAGACCACATTTGCGCAGCCGGCCGCCGCGATAAGGACCCGCGCGTGGTGACAAAGCGTCTGATAGATATGTGCAATTTCCGATCATTTATGTGAAGTTCATTTCTCATGCAAAAGCACCAAGTTACTGGATCGACAGATAGACGCCAATTGTCCCGCTTTCCGCGCGCTCAGTGACTAGGTGAATGTTCAAGTGATCGTTTAGCACATTCGTTGTGGCGCTATTCCTGAGCTGTCGCCTAGCTCAAGGTTGAAGAAGCAAAGCTGTCTACCTCTGGTGGTCCAGGTTGACTTCAGATGTGCCATCGCTCGGTCGACCCGCGGGCTGTCGCTAAATCACCAAAACTCGCAGCAACTCGAAGGCGCCTGTGTCAGTTCTGGAGCGCCTTTGGATTCATCACAGCTAGACTAGTCGAGCCTCACGAAACAGGCTTGTTCTGATATCTATCCATCGCCGCTCCGTCGCATGTGGCTTGCCATGGCCTCACATCCTCGTCCGTCCCCGCATCTGCCAACTCTCGTCATATTGCAGTATGTCTATCTTTCCATTCTGGTCGCAACGCAGCCCCGATGGCCGGTGAGAGCGGCGGCGTTCATGGTGTACGTATGTATTCTTGGGTTGGTGTTTACTTGCACGACTGGGGTTGCTTCAACGGATTATGGCCTTGCATGCATGCTTGCGGGCCAATTTATCCTCGCGATTCAATTCATACTACTGCAAAACCCTTTGAGAGAACTTCGACATGAGCGAGACCACGTTGCTCCCGAGAAGTTACCATTTTGGCGTCGGACGTACTGGGCGCTTTGCGTCCTCTTCAGTTCTCGTGGAATAGGATGGACATACCAGGTGCGCATATGTCTCTTTGTGCCTTCCGACTTTGGGAATTCCATAACCTTGTCTTAAGATCCCCCATCTTCTGCCTCGCCCCAGTACGCCTCGCCGGGAATTCGCGTATCAACAAGTCGTCAAGGCGGTCTGGTGGTACTTGATTGTGGATCTCGGCAGAGCCTACCAGCACTCGAACAGGCTCTTCTTTAGAGATGCAGCCGACCTCTTTGGCGAGGGATTCCCCGGCTACCTCCATCGATGCGTCAATATCGTTGCCTTCCTGGGTCCAATGATCAGCATTACGGGCGTCATGTACTGTCTTATCGCTGCTGTGTTTGTCACCCTGGGCTGGTCTCCTCCCAGAGATTGGCCACATGTGTACGGGAATTGGGCCGACTCATACACAGTCCGGCGATTCTGGGGGTCAGTGCTTGAAAGCCCATATCTAGCGTCTATTTGCTGATGCGAATGGCGTAACATAGACGTACTTACCATCAGAACTTTCGCCGGGTACGCATCGCTTGTTGGTCTGTGCGAGCTCTCGCTCATCCTCGGATTACGCTACGCAGTGCACAGCAGCAGTAGGGAAGGGATGCTGCCGCCTACTAGGCCTGAAACCGGGATCTTGGGCTTCCTCATATACGCAGCTGTATGTCGGCTTCGCCACATCGGGTTTCATGCACTGCGTGGGCGACCTTGTGGTTAATCCAATGCTTTTCGGCACGTCCTTCCCATTCTTCATAGCCCAGGCAGTCGCCATCTCGCTGGAAGACGCAGCCATCGGCGTTGCGCGGCGGATAGGCCTGCAGTCCCGGTATCCCGCTCATTTATGGCGCATGCTGGGGTATGCGTGGGTGGTTTTATGGTTTAGCGTGTCGGCGCCGTGGTTCATCGCAGCATCACTCCGAGTCGGGGCACTGTCTCCCGTTTCATTCTCGCTGATAGCGATGCTGAGTTCCAGAATGGAGCATGTTTTGCGAAATCAGCTTCTTCTTGCAATCGCTGTCACGAAGTTGCAACCAGCAGAGATGTGATGGGGCGGATCTAGGTATGGCGGTGTTTTAGTACTCCCGTGGATTTGCATGATTTTATACTTCATATTTAGTATCGCAAATACACAAAGTCGTTGTAATTCGCGTCCGCAAATCAGTCGAATTCTGTTAAATTCTACTTCTGCGCAGTGAGAAGATCTCGCGTGTCTGGCGGTCAGAATATCTACCAGCCAGACGATTAGATCAGCTCTCGGATCTCAGCGATGGAACGAACAGTTAGCGGTATAGTATACGAGACTACGAAGCCCTCTGGCCCGGAGCTGTCGCAAATTGCGAGATAAATAGCTTGTCGCATCTGTGTTTTACAACCTAGGATACAGTCCGAACCGACAGCATTAATGTGCTCCATACACACCTTAATTGTCGCTACAAGAACAAAGGAAACAAGCATGGTAATAGATAACGAGGCTTGTCAATATAAGATCGTTCGTGAGAATAGAAGACCCGTAAGAGAAACATTACACTTGCATACATGCGGAAATCTGGTCCTTGCGCAAATCAACCCTCATCAGGAGCGACCGTTGAGACGGCGCCTTCAGATTTATATTGCTCTGAACGTGAACATATCAGGCAAGGTTACGAGACGGTTCCAAATTCTAGTGAAATACCCAACATTACCCTCACTGTGCCAGAGCCGCTGTCTAATGAAGCATTCTGAATGGTGTTGGCATGCGACATTCCGGAGACGCCCTGTGAGTGAACGTCAGACACGATCGTCGCTGGCATCTCGAGTTATAAAAATATCTTACTTTAGGACCGTTCCGTATATATTTGTATGATACCATCCTGAAATGTTATGTTTGAGCGAATCAGATGATCTCGATGAGGGTGATGGCTACCATGGACTCGTCATGGACCTCCTCCTGTATAGCGGGTCCGGCTAGGTTCTTAACCGCGTACCTGTATTCGTTGTCGTCAATTTCCATATGTAGTGGGTCCGTCGCTTGGTCCTCATTCTATCATGTTGCGAGCGAGGCTTCTTGAATGTCATCTTACTGAAGGCGAGCGACTTGGCGAGTGTGTTTTAAGTGCGCCGTGAGCGGTACTAATATACTGAGTGTGTGTGACGTTGATGACATGTTGGTGTTAGTGATAATCGTTTAAGGATTGACAGAAGGAACCCACAGTGTATTCTACCCGCATGTGCTCGCTAAAGGTGGCGTCATTGTCGAGCCATCTTTTCCATTGTTCGGATTTGTTCACGTTCGTTTGCCGCAAGTTGTGGACAACGTGGAGGTCCGAACGATGATGCGATCCATGACGGGTGCCCTGTCCAGCTCTCATTGGCAGCTTATGTTGAGACAGTTTAATGCGCGACAATACACGCTGGCCTCGGGGTTTCCTACTCAGGAACAGTATGGAAGTGAATGTCCGAGCGAGGAAAACGGTGGTTTAGCGAGGCCATCGGGACGCAAAAATACCTGATGGCATATGGTAGAGTCTCGATCCTCTTGCCATTCATGGTACTCAAGACGCAGTGTGTAACCTTCTGCTGAGGCCCAGAGGTGTCGACTTCAGTGATAACACATGGACGATCCTTGAAACCGGGCCATAGGCTATCCTGAGTCCTCGACGTGTCAATGGTGTGGTTGCCGAGCGTGACTATTGACATGAGCTTCTTCAGATTGACCTTGAGTGCGCTCTCGATGGGCCTCATGAGCGACTCTTGGATGTGACATACGTCTCCGGCTTGCAATGGGACCGTACCGAAATCGATAGACGCAAGACGCGGGCGAGCCGAGCAGTTGTAGCAGGGAGACATGATGATTACTTGACGAAACGCTCTAGGATATTCACCATTATATAGTCATGGTCATCGGTAAATGACAAAGACTCGACCTGCTTGATGCAGGTGCGTACCTACATGTCTTGTCCCATTGTCAAGCGGAAACAAACACCTTACAGAAGGCATCGCTTGTGAAGACACATTCAACTAGGACGGATACGTGGGTCCATCTTATCACGACCAAGTGTCCAGCACCACGGTAGGACGTATGCAATTGTTGTAGTACACCATGCGCGTTGTGAAGAGAACTTCCGCGACGCAGGTCATATTGGATGTTGTCATTGTTAGTACAATATCTACCATCAGTGGAATCGCTTATTTTTTCCATTGAACTTACAAAATGTTACGCACAAGATATGGAACTTTATCGCAATGTTGCCAGTGGGGTCACGATTTGTACCAGAAGTATCACAGTCGGTGTTCTAATTTGAGACTTTGAGACTTCTCAGAGGATGGTGAATGGAGAGCATCTCTCAAGCGGAGAATTTCCAAGAAAGGGCGAGCATTTCTGTCCACCCCGATACGGAGGTAGCTGAACAGTATGCCGCCGCGCAAGGGTGGGCACGCCAAGAGTCGGGTCCAATCCCATCAGATGATCGGAGATCATGCTGACAAGAACTCAGCATGCCGGACGACCGGCGCTTGACCTGTTTGTCTTCCCTTGTTCTACACTTGACGCATCCGAGATGTACCTCATGGCGAGAGACAACGCATTTGCTGACTTAATTGAGACAATAGGCGAGCTGCTAGGCCATAGCTCCCCGCTCGCTCTGCATTCTGCCCTTCAAGTCAAGCCTCAATTGCCTCTCACAGACCCCAACGCAACATGACTTGGACACCGCTTCCCGGAATGTATCTCGCTCTCCGTCTCAACCCAGTGGCCATGGTGGAACACTTGGAAGATCCTATAGCACTAGATTCTGCGCGCCAAATGCAGCCGGGGACATATATCGCATACGTCGATCACGTAGGTTACCGTTGGTTGTTGGCCAGTCCTCACAACTGAATTGCTTCGTATAACAAGCTTCTCGACTTCCCTTGGCGGGACAAGCCTGCCCATAGATGCAGTGTCAAGTTTGCTGGACGGGGTCTGCCAACACGTCTCAAGGACGAATTCATGGAAAGCACGATGTGTGTTCCCATTTTCCCCAATACATCGCACCCGCTGTCTCGTGAACCACTTCGGCCAAAGACACCATTTCCATTCTCAGACTGCTACCAGTATTCCCTCGTCGACACCACAGTGCGCGTGCCGACGCAGGATTTCGAGCCGCGAACTGCAATCTGGATGTCGCCGCGTCAGACCCATGAGCATAATAGATTCCTTGCCGACGACTTCCTCAGGCGTGCGATACTCATGCGCGAGAAAGGTGTCCCTGGTCCAGATCCAGATACCGTCATTACTTGGGAACGTCACGATTACGGAGGGCTGCCCTCACCTGATTTGCGCCGGAGTGACGCCGAAAGAGACTCCCTCGACGACTTCGTGGTACCCGAGTCGGACCACGATGGCGATGCATCGTTGGACCAGGAGGCCAACCAAGAAGACGGGCCTGACGGTGACTCCGCATCATCTATGATTGTATCAGATTCGGATGGCGACGCTGAGAGCGTCGACTCGTCCGAACGTGACTTCACACAGCTCGCATTCGCGGAGAGAGCTGTGGACGATCTGGACATCATTCCGCTGGTCGAGGC